ACACACACACACACACACACACACACACACACACACACACACACACAGGAGCAGAGTACCGTCAGTCACTGAGGGGGAGACACATTACAGGATTGGATAGGAAACAGTCACTTACGCCTTCTGTTGGAGGTGCTTTAGCTTCTTCCTCTGGTGGGTTTTGTCTGTGTGAGCGGTGAAAAATAATGTTAGACACTTCACCATCAACTGGTTCTTAAAATGGTGCATTTAGGGCGTCTTACTCTGCAGTGGACTTGATATTCTCCTCAGATGTGTCTTGAAGCCAGTCCAGCTCCAACGTCTCTGTTTTATGCGTTTCCTCTTCTTCCTCCTCCTCTTCATCATCATAGTCATCATCATCATGTATAACTATTACGTCTCTTTTACTTTCTTCCTGGATCGCGTCCTGAGTCTCCACAGGACTGATGTCCACGTCCTCCACAGCGACGGGTGAGAGTTCCTCGGTGCTTTCTTGAGCGACCGCCACCGCGGCATCGAGTCCCTTTGGCGTCTCCGCCTCGTCGGGGCTTTTCTCCGTCGTTTCTTTCTTCGCAAAATACTGGGAAATGTTGCGGGAGCTCTTTGCCGCCTCCGCTAGTTTCTGCTGCTTCTTGCTCACGGCTCTGCCTGCCTTCGTCGGGCTGTTCAGGGCGGCGGCGACGTTCGCTCTGGCTCTGATGGACGACGTCACAGCTGCAGACGCATCTGCGTTAGATTTTCCGGAGCCTCCCGAGCTGTCGTAGAACCCGCCGCTCTCTGTCAACTTGTTAGTGTCCGACACGGAGTTCTTCAGCAGATCCTTAGCAGCCAGGAAGGGGTTGGATGATCCTCTCAGGCCTGCTCCGACTCTCTTGCGCTTCATCTGGAGGAGGAATGCAAAAAGAGAATACAAGTTGATATCCGACTACTGTGCAGCCACACTAATCCACAATGACTGGTGGGTGAAACAAGTGTGTAGCGAAGTGAAACTCACTGAGTAGATCTCAGATGCAGATGTGAACCCCTGCAGCTCCTCAGAAAAGAAGGAGGAGGAAGACGAGGGAGTTTCCTCTTTGAGTTTGGACTCATTTTCACTGCTGCCGTCAGTCTTGACACCTTCTCCCCTTTCTCCAGGTGCTGTTTTCTTCATCTCCGATACCTTTAAAAAGAAGATATATACGAGTTGGGAACATGTGTCATTACACGCTACCAAGGGTGCTTCGACAGGCAGAGCAGGTAGAAGCTATACCTTCTTCAGGACGGCAGCTTTGTACAAGTTGGAGGACTTGGAGCTCTTGAAGACCTCGTGTTCAATATCGGCCGCCAACATCAGGCTGTCACTGCAGAGAGAAGAAAGAGACGTGAAAGCCTCTGTGGAGCGACTGTGGGGGAAGAAAGTTAGAAAGTTCACAATGTTTATGAATGATGTTTGAGGCATGTGTCTGCATAACTACCTGAATGAGTCTTCTGCCCTCTGGTGGCCATATAATGCTTCCTGCAGGAGGCACAGGCAGTGCTCTCTGGCCTGAAATAGAATATTAGGCTCATAAAATTCAAACTAAAAATGTCAAGAAAGATCAAAGCTACTGATATTATTATTAATAAAAAATGTATCTCTTTGAAAGACACATTTAACAGAAATGCAGTCTCATTCTTGTGTTATCTTCTTGCACATCGGCAGTGGTGGTGTGGCTCCGTTGAAACGTTGGCTCTGCCGCCCGTCTTCACACCTCATGACACACGAGTTCACTGAACTCACGCAGACGTGTTAATGAGCGCAGCAGCTATGAGGAATGTTGTTCGTGTACCTTCACGGTGAGTCTGGGGATCCTCTGGCTGTCGGCCTCTCTGAGCGGGCAGTCAGCCTCTACACAGTAGAGAGACAGCGGTTACACGTGACAGTACATGCCGGCCTGGATATACGTTCACTGTTATTGTATTTATATTTACCTGGAGCAACAAAGTCTTCTCTCTGACCGCCAGTTGCCTGAAGAAACGTGAGCACAGACAGAAGTTAATTCTCAGATGTTCACTAAAACAATAAAACAATAAAATAATGCCCACTGTACAGAGAAGTGACACACTGGTACACTTCCTCCATCTCTGCAGCATAAGCACTCCCCTCCTGCCCTTCCATTCTACACCTTCTCCTTGTCTCCCTCATGTCCTGTTATCTGGCTGCTGGTGCTGTCCAATAAAAATGCACCAAAAATAGTCAAACAAGTAAATAAATGAATAATAAATCTTTTGATCTTTTGACACGGTGTTGGCTTTAAACATTGTCAAAGGAGAACAGCAGCTGATTCTAATCGTACATTTTCACAGCAGGGAAAATAAATAGGCTGTTGCGTAAAATAATTATAATTAAAGCTCAATAAAAAACGAATATGAATGTAAGTTTCTTAAAAAAATATATGAATTGCAAAGTCAATTTCTACAAAGTAGCACAACATGAAATGGGACATATATTGCTCCCGTGAAAAGTTGGACTTTAAAACACACACACACTACACACTCTACACGTCACGTGTATGATTCAGTTTCTATGTATCTGTATTCTATGTTTCAGTCCCGTCAACACAACTATTTGCACTGAATGAAGAGATCCTTTTAATCTTATTTTGACTCTATTTTATTTATATATTCATATTTTTGTCATCTTGTATTTATTTATTTATTTCTCTGTGGAGTCATATTGTCACGTCATCATACGGTCGTGTTTGTTATGTGAACTATTTTGTCTGTATTGTATAAATAAATACATTTTTAATCCACTTTACAAAATAGTCTCAGTTTGATGACTATGTTCACAGTGATACGCTTTGGCTTCAGACATCTATTAAGTTTACATGGATTAGTATTAAATTATTAAACGTGTTTTGTGGGTGGAATAGTACGTAGAGCTCGTAGCTCCATTACATGAAGAGGTTCTGAATGACGTGTGATCTCGGTGGCGATGCCTTCTAGTCTCTCGTGGTTTCTTTCAACTATTTTACGATTGTGCCGTTCCTGCTTTTATCGATGTTGTGATGTAAACTGGACGAGCTCCGCTCAGACCTGCCGACAAATAGTTCTACTTCGATTTTGCGCCAAATTCCACTAAACATGCGGGAGCAATTTACCACGATCCTGACTTTCAGTGGCCTCAACGGCCTCAGCCTTCCTGCTGCCAACAGCTGGCCGACAGACGCACAGAGACACAAAACAAACAGAAAAGCGCTTTGTGTGTTCATCGCAATGATTCACCACCTTCCGCATCTTCATCTGCTTCTTGTAGATGTCTGAAAACACCTTTTTCCTCGTCGAGCCATCGTCTTCACCACTACTGGCGTCCCCTTCATCAAACCTGCAACGTGTGATGCCAAGCGTCAGTCTCAAGGTTCACCACTACTTTACGCTACAAAAAGCAAATCCGCGTGGAACAAAAAAAAACGTCACGGAAGTTGTCCTGCCTTTCGAAGCCGTAGCCCTTCCGTCCTCCTTCGTAAAGGCCTCGCTGGAACCCGAACGGCCCCGTGGCCTCCGTGCTCTGAGCCGCCGTCTTGGTGCAGAGGACGGCCGCCCTCTCCAGCTGGGCGCGCACGACTTTGGGGTTACGACAGAAGTCGCAGGAACCGGCACAGTTGGGCGTCTCGTCCCCGAAGAACTTGGAGATGGTGGCATGGCGGCAACTGGTGGAAAGAGATGGGAGACACTGCCTGTTAAAACTAAATATATGTAAAGACAGGTTTATGATTACGCTCCTGCAGGAACACCAGGGCTCCACAGCAGAGCGGTAACAGGCCAGGTTACATATCAGTCTGCATTTAGAAGGTCAAGCCTCACAGCAAACATCTCTCCATTATTCACAGAGCATCTAGTGCGTAATTGATCTATTAGCGTTTATGTAACCAACACACATTACTATGATCAATATTTCTGTTCTTCTTCGAGTCTAACTGGGCTCCGATGTGCCATGAAATAATAAAATACCGTTGTCTGACAATAACAAAGCGAGTAGAGTTATAATATAGTTATAAGCTCGAGAATTGACTTCAGTACTTCTTCATGTACTGATAACAAGAAGACATTAAAGCAAATAAAATATTCATATAGATAACTAGTCTTACCTTCTAATTACAAATATCACACACACACACACACACACACGCACAGCATCTGATGGGAAACAGCCCTCAACATACTAACTATGCTGTAAAAGGGAACGCTGCTTCCATGAAAGAGAGCGGAGCAGCTCCACCGGAGGAGGTGGGGAAAGGCAGGGCGGCAAACAAAGACTCTGTGAAGCAGCAGTCACTCCCAGAGAGGACTGGCAGAGAGGAAACAGCCTCGCAGGCGGAGCTAAATAAAGTCACAGCAGATAACTAGTCCGCAACCAAACACCAAGAATAAGACGAGGAGAGCAAGAAACCTGAAGGACCAAAGAGGAGAAAGTTTCATCTCACTTCTCCTTCCCTCCACATGCAGAGTATCATCAGCTCCTGAGGAATTACTCCCACTCACGTTAATCTCAACTGCTTATCTCCGTCTGCTCGTGACGTACCGGACGTTTCAACGACAAACAGGTAACTCCTTCAGAGGACACATGTCATGTTCGTCACTGTCTCCTCCTCATCAACTGGTCCGCTTACTTCTGTAAATCAGTGTGAGCCGAGCTGAGCGAGTGACAACAGCAGCGACGGAGACGACCACAGGTATGTGCTTTTCATTGTGAGGAGAACTGCATGTTCAGAACAATGTGAAGAATGTGTTCAGAAAGACGCACTTGTTTGATGCAAACACTGGGAAGTTCAGCCGCCCGCTTTAGAGTTTAACTCCGATACAAAGACATTTTAACAGCAGGACGTTTAAGTTTTGATCTCATCTAAAGGAACACTCAACGAGTTAGATGATGAGAAGAGAAAAGTCAGATTGAAAGGCAAACTTTCATACGTTTCTTGTCTGCAGACTCAGCTGATTTCAAGAAGGAATTTAATATTAAGAAATGGACGCAAACAGGATCTAAAATTAACTTCAACAAAGCATCGACTGTGCAGAACTTTCCTTTATGAGTCAGAGTCATCTGAAAACACCAGCGAACTAACTACATGACAGCCTCTGGTTGGATATCTGCATGTGCTCAAAGTGGATGCTGCGCTGCACAGAATAGCATGAAAACATTCAGTAGCACTCGGCAAAAATAAATCTTTCCGTCATGAAGGTGATAATGTAATATTCAGTTTGTGTTACTGCTTCACAGAGGAGTGTCTGACAGCTGTTATTGGAATGGAGACAATAAATCAGACTGCATCACAGAGTCATGCAACACATTCATAAGCTCATGCATTTCTGGGACCAAATAACATAAAAGTTCTGGGAAATCTGCTCTTTTTGCAGTTAGCTGTTTACAGTCTTTAGCACTGCTAAGCTAACAGTCTAACTTTGTCTAAAGGCAACAAGACCTGCCTACCAGCAAGCTCACTAATAGAAATATTGTGTTTGTTTATCGAGTACACAAACTGAAGCGTAACAGCTGCAATCCACCATTTTACAATGGGTTATGTGAGGAATTGTGTTATTTTTAGACAGAGATGGGCTAGCTGTTTCCCCTTGTTTACAGTCTTTGTGCTAAGCTAAGATAGCCTGCTGATGGCACCAAGTAGAAAGCTACATAATGCACCTTGGTATCGATCATCTCACGTAATACTGGACAAGAACTAATGAAGCCAAATGTCAAAACATTCCTCAATTCCTCAATACAGTGCCTGTATTATTCAGTCATTGTTGGTATTCTAACGCAGCAAAGAGCTGAGCCCACACCCAGAGGCCTCTCGTCTACTTCAGACCACAATAACACAGTGAAATAAATCACGTATCACTTGACTCTTGGAACGTCACACATTAAAAAGACGGAACACATCAAACACGTTTGACACAATGAAACAGGCCCGGAGAGTCTTCTGTTCAACAGATGAATCATTCCTTTGTTAGGACGTTTCACAAAGAGCCTGACAGGAGTTACCATCCTAAACCACCAGCACTGCCGTCATCACACTGGTAAACTGACTCGCTCGTGGCTAGATAAACTGTGCTTGACATCAGGCGGTAAAGCTCCCACTTACAGATTGACTAACTGCCGATTAAAAAGCTGAAAGTTGCGTGCTTGTGTCAACAAAGCGGCAATGTGGTCTCACCCACTCAGGCTGTCTGTAGCAAGCAACAGGAGCCACATCCTGCAGACTGAACGCAGGCAAACAAATGAGACACTGTGTACTGTAAATGTAAGCCTGACCTTTCCCTCTCAGGATGGACGCCAGAGAAGAGACGCTGTACATCCTGAGGAATATATGGGTGAAGCTGCAGGGTCTCCCCAATGCCAGCACCATAGAGCTGGGAGCCTTCCTTGTCATCCTAACCTTCATCTGTGAGTCTCCACTCTATCGCCTCTCATTCCTGTGTTTCTGTTAAAGAGCGAGCTGATTTTTTTGCTGTTTTTATTTGCCCTCCTGCAGTGGTGGTCCTGTTAATGACAGCGCTGACCTGTGTCAACTACTGCTGCTGCTGCTGCCGCTGCTGTCGCAAGACAAAGATGAAGGGATCGAACATTTGAGAGAACGTTCGCCACACGAGGGGGAAACAGGACGTGGGGAAAAAGGTCCTCAAAAAAACAACAAAAGGCTTTTCTCTGCAGATTACTCAGACATTCGAGACTTTTCAGTGAGCTTTGAGCGGCACTAGAGGAGCCCAACCCTTGAACAACAGAACAGCTGACAAACACAATGAAGGATGCCAAACACACCCGCTGAAGCTGCCAGGGTTTCAGGAGGATCTACATTCTTTGGAGCATCTCCGCGCTTTACAGAGCAACCACAACCCCTCTGACCCGAGGAAACCCAAAAGTGTCTTCAATAATGCCGCTAATACACGGAATATGAGCTACAAATATGTGTAGGATGATTAAAAAAAACTGCAGTGAGTTGCACAGTGAAACATAAATGGGGAAGACAAATTGGTTTGTTAACGTGTCATACTTAAGGAACGAGAGCTGTCAGAATCACACCCAACCTGTTTGGTTCGGTTTAAACAATTTGAAGTCTTGTTTGCCGGTTAGTACAGTTTATTTGGGCTGATGTTAAAGCTGTCAATCAAACCCTGGTCTGCTTCAAAGGGCACTCTGGCGCAGTTCCTTTGTGGTGTGAAAGCAGACGAACTAGATACGTGGTTCTAGCATGATTTCAAAAGCTAAATGACCAATAAATCCTTCTGCCGAGGGTGAAATCTGTTCAGGAAGTCATCTTTTTATTGGGCCACGTATATATAACCTGTTTATGCAAATCATTTGGTAATAACAGTATCACGTATGCACGTCAGCGCAGGTATTTTCCCTGATTAATAGTATGTATGTATGTATGTATGTATGTATGTATGTATGTGTATATATATATATATATATATATATATATCTCAGTTGTGTTTTAATGTATAAAACTGCATGTTATGAGGCTTTGACGACACTTTTGTACGCATTAAACAATAAGTGACTTGCATGCACTGAATGCTTTAGTTTACTTACGCTTCTTGAGCGCAGAACGACACCATGGCGTCAAAGTCTGTGATGGCAGCTTTGTCGGCCTCCTTTGCAGAGCCTCGTTTTTCCTGTAGGCGAGTTTACAAAGTGTTCACAAACCCCCCCAGAGTTTCATATGAGCCGGTTACATTTGGAGCTGTCTGTCATCGTGCTGACCTGTCTGCGGCCAACCTCCTTGCGGATGAGGAAGTTCATCTGCTCCTTATCTTTGGGAGAGTAGTATGTGCGACAGGAGGAGGGCAAGCCGTCTCTCCCGGCTCGCCCAGACTCCTGGTAGTAACTCGCCAGGGACTTGGCGAGGTTCCAGTGAGCCACAAACCTGCGGGATTAACCAAAAAACATCAGCGCACGCAAACTTACATTCCATAGCCAATACAAAAAGCTTACACCAAAACCTCACAGCCTCACCTGACACTGGCCTTGTCGACTCCCATACCGAAGCTGATGGTGGCTACAATAACCAGCACCTTCCCCTGCATCCACTCGTTCTGGTGCTCTGTGCGATCTCCTGGTCTCAGACCTGCAGCGTAAAAGCACAGAAGTTGAGCCTTTTGAGAACAAATATTTGTGATTTCTAGTTCTACAACCACATGGAGGAAAAACAGGCTCACCTGCATGATACGGTTTGGCCAAGACTCCAAGCTTGGTCAGCTGGTGAGCTACTGTTTCACAGCCGTCCCTGGTCCGACAGTACACAATCCCACAGCCCTGTTCATACGTATTACAAACAGAAGGAAGAAAGCAGGGCTCTTACTCTCATGTTCAAGTGGACATTATCAGCTCATATTGGGCTCATCATAGCCTACATGACAGGTACTGATGTTGGTATTTGAGAGTTCAGAATGATATATCGGCACACATCGCATAAACATTCTACAAGGATCTCTCTGTGTCAGGTCTGTGAGCCTCGGTACATGATAAAGCGGCTGTTTTGGACCTTTTATCAGTCTATACATTGATTTTTTCTTTAGGAAATTGCTGCATATTCTACCTTTAAGAAGTCTTAAGGGTTTGTGTTATTTGGCTCAAATCTGCAAACTTGAAAAGGAACTTTTCTTGCATATCAGAACCCTGGAAAGAAAAAGTCTAGTGAAAACTTAAAAGTGACTTTAGAGCAGTCGTCTCAGCTGTCTTATCTTATCTTCTCATCTACCCAATCAAGCTTTTGTGGCAGCAGATTCAAAACTTAAACGGTGGCGTAAATAAAATAAAGAAATCTATATAAATTGATGAATGAGGGCTTGTGTTCTTTCATTCAGAGAAGAGGAGCAGCTCCACACAAACACCACCAACCTGTTGATTAGAGCCGCTGCCCAGTGCCAGTGACTTCTGAATGAAGGCGTAGAGGTGGAGGTAAGGGTTTGGCAGCAGCTCCCTGAAGATCACATCATAGTGCAAGTTACTGCGGAAGACAGGCGTAACAAAAGACAGCGGCGAGCGCAGCCTCAGGGACTGAACAACGTCCTCTTGAACATTCTTGGGCGCCGTTGCTGTCAGGGCCAAACAGGGAACCCCCGGCAAGCGACCACGCAGCTCTCCCAGTTTGAGGTAGTCCGGCCTGAAGTCGTGCCCCCACTGGGAGACGCAGTGAGCCTCGTCCACGGCCAGGTAGGACAGCAGGCCGCGGGAGCACAGGCCGGTCAGGCAGGGCTGGAACGAGGGAGAGGCCACCATCTCGGGGGTAATATAGAGCAGCTTCAGCTTGGGGCTGCTGCTCCCCAAGTCGGCCAGGATCAGACTGCGCTCGCCGGCTGGCAGCTTGGAGTTGATGGAGCAGGCAGCGATGTTCAGACTCTTCAGGTGGTCCACTTGGTCCTGAGGAGAAAACACAGGAAGGGATTAACAACCAACTGCGACTGCATTGGAGCAGCACAACCACCAACAGAGACTGACCTGAATGAGAGCGATTAGCGGTGATATAACCAGAGTAATACCCTCAGCCATGACAGCAGGCAGCTGGTAGCAGAGGGACTTCCCTGCTCCAGTGGGCATGCACACGAACACATCCCTGTCACCTGCAGGAAGACACCACCAGTCACCACCACGCCACACAATACTCTCTCTCTGACAACCCTTCACACGAGATGAGACTCAAACTGGGCCTCATATTCCAACAGCAACAAAAACGTCAGTTAGGTCGCTGTTGCTACGAGCCAGCTAACGTCTGCTAATTAGCACAGAGGTAAACTAACACAGCAGATACAAGCAGTGCTGTTCGCTGACTTACCTTTAACGACGACTTTAACAACATCTTCCTGTACTTTAGACCGGAAGTTGTCAAACCCAAAGTGGGTTTTTAAAGCTTGTTTTAAGGTTGTTGTCATCGTTTATCGCTCTTTAAAGAACTCATGTAGGAACCGTCTCTGGCGTCGTCGCACACCGATGACGTCGTTACAGTCGCAAAAAGAATCTGAGACAGAAAATAAAGTTGTTTTGAAATGCTGTATTTAGCGATTCCATGTTATTTATTCATGTAATTGTTTTTATTTTTATATATTAATTATTTTGGTGGAAAGTGTTCTTCATAATTTGGTACGTTTTATTCGAGCTCTCTGATTGGTCGAGCTGGGACATGCGTGTATATTAAGGGACACATGTAGTGGTACTGTGTGCTCAGATCAACCTATAATGATACACCATACTCTTCATTATATTTTGTAAAGTACAACATTTACAGTAGATGTATTTCATATAAAGTGTATGTATGTGTGTGTGTGTATATATATATATATATATATATATATATATATATATATATATATATAAATATATAATGTAATGTCTTACATACTAATAAACAGACCAGAGAGTAAGACTTGGATTTGGTTTATTTATCATTCACAGACAGAAATGCATTCTCACTGCTGGGTTAATATTGCACAATAGATTACATTAATACTATAGGTTCCTTTTCAAAAATACATGGAATATGTGTGAGCAAAGAGGAGCGCTGTAACTCTATAGTGAGGAAGTGGTTGCGACAATCACATTAAAGCAGCAGCAGCAGCAGCAGCATAGAGAGGGGTCACATAGTGGAGCTATTCAATAGCACAATGGTGGTTTCACATCAGGATCTCTGATTTCTTCCAGTGATTATTACAGAACCATTTGTTGTACTTTATTATTATATCTACTGGAGTTTAAAGGAAGAGGTGACATGAGCAGACTCAACGCCAGAAGCAGGGCGTCGGGCAGAGACATTGGCTCCCAGCTGCTGGAGACTTGATCACCAGATCATTGATGAACTCCACTGTACCAAACAAGGGGAACAGCTTCTCATCGAAGCTCTCGTTGTAGGTGTAAATATGGAAGTGTTTGTCCACGTCGTAGAAGGACAGCTGGCCGCGGTCGTAGTCGAGGTAGATGCCCACCTTGCTGGGGATGAGGCCGGGCGGCAGGGCGGTGAATGGCACCGTCAGTGCCTTCAGCTCGGTGCCCCTCTCCAGCCGCAGGCTCAGGTAACCCGTATCTGTGTTCAGGGACTTGAAGCCTTTCCTCAGGGCCGACTCTTTGGCCACGCCCAGCCTCCAGTCCCGCTCACCCACCTCCACCTCCCAGTAGTGGCGGCCGGAGCCGAAGCCCTCCACCCCGACAGCGCACCACCAGCCGTCGAAGCGTTGGTGGTAGTTGGGAATATCCTTCCGGTCGCTATGACAGCGCATCCTCTTCTCGTCAGTGGAGATGAGCAGATCAGGGTTGGCTGTGTCCAGATCCAGATTCACCTCCACTGGAGAGAAAAGTGACATGGATTCAATTACCAGACAGGTTCTCCACAGTTTATACTCTACATATATGGTGATGCTGTACCTGATGCAGCTGAGATCCAGTCCCACACTGTAAAAAAAGAAACAGAGGGCTTGAGTCTAACAGTGTAAATGCAACAACATAATGATTTGGTCAGTAGCTATATAGGCTGTCAAACCAGTATTAAAGGAACAGTGGGTATTGTGATGATGACAAGGTTGAAGTAAAGGAGAGGTTGTCTGCTCTGACATTCCAAAAATCCAAAAATTTTAATTGATGCAACATTTTGACCTCAACAGGCAAATATCCATATGGAGCATTGTTTTGCATCATATGATATCTTAATTGCAGGTGGAGCTGTCATTTTATTTTGGCTGACTGTTTTCTTGCTCAAATAGATGTTTTCCAGACAAAATAATGCATCAATTAAAATGTTGGAAGTTTGAAATCTTCAATCTCTCCTTTTCCTATATATGCTGTTGTCCTGCACCTGTGCTCCACCTTCTTCAATTGAAACCTAATAATGAGTCTTGTGGATTTCTGTTAAAGCAATATACAACGACAACACCAAGCAGTCAGAATGTAACTTGAAAGCAGCGCAGCTTGTATGTACTGGTTTTAAGTGCATGCTGATAGAAGGTATATCACTCACCTGGTTGAGGAATGTAGGAGATGGCACCTGGAAAATACAATAAGAGGTTCATCAGGAAGTGAAAGTCTCCAGATTCATAACAAAATTCAACTTGATTCAGTTTTAATTTACAAACCAATCGTCTGAGTCTTCTGCTTCCACATCAGCCACTGCTGCGGGATGGTATCCTGCAAGAACACCCCCAAAAGAGGTTAGTGTTAGACCTGCACAATAAACACAAGGAGTTAAGCAGACTCTGTGAATTGCTATATGTGGACTTCTACCTTATCTGGGCGCTGCACCATTAAAGTCCATAACACCAGCTCCATAGCACTCAGCAGATTGGGCACGGTGCCCCAACGCCAGGCTGACTGCAGGTCCTCCAGAACCTTTGCCACAGGTTCCCCGGGCCACACACTTTGCTGCAAGTTAACAATAATAATAAGCTTAATTTATGTAGCACCTTTCATAACAAAGAATGCAGCGCAAAGGGCTTCACAAGAGCAACACATCAACCAGCAGGAAATGCTAATCGAACATCTCACGTCAGGCTGAGCCCTCAGGTCCTTGATCCAGTTGAGGATCACAGCTTTGGCCTGCAGCAGGTCCTGCTCATTGATCATATCAGGCTGTTTGACCTCTTCCACCTCTGGCCAGCCATCTGTCTGTATGGGCCTCTTCTGCACACAGAAACACCCAAAACCTTTAGTGGTGCAACCTTCCACACACCTTCAGTAGTCAGATTCTGTCCCTGAACTCTCCCTCTGGAGGTGGAGGATTTTCTCAGATAAGCACCTTGCTCTCTAACATGGAGGCCCACTGGAGGATGAAGGCCCTGCAGAGAGAGACGGGCCAGGTGTCGTCAAGGTTCCAGATGTGCTTTAGGACAGTGGACCTCTGCAGAGGCAAAACGGAGAGACAAGAAACAGGAAGACACAAAAAATCAGTATGTGGTCACTGTTATTTTGACAAATTCAACTCTGTAATCCTGGATTTCAAAGAGTTTAATGACCTCTCAAAATTAAAAATGCTCCCTGGAGAACGACACAACGCGTATCTTGCTGCCCAATAAATATCAACATGCCTCAACCTGAGGGACAGTGAATGACCTAAACACACACACACACAAATGTAATTGTAATGCTGTATATATATTATTGTGTAACAATTGTAATGTTGTGTAACTATATTTTTATTTGTATTATTGTGTACTTTCATATCTTGAGGCTTTGGCAGCATCGTTATTTTTTTTAAACTTTCATGCCAATAAAGCCACATTTAATTAAATTGACAAGAGAGGGAAACCCTCATGGGACACATTTCTTTCACAAGTCAGACAAAGTAATTTCTATTTTCACGAGTGATCTGTTACCTGGCATACTCGGCTTAGATCTCGAGCCAGATCCACAACGAACAGCTGATCCTCATCCAGAGGCTCCCTCTTCTCATTCTTCGCTCTCTTGTGTGACTCCTGCAGGAAGATTAAAAATTAAAGGATTTTCTGTGGGAAAAGTGTTTGGAAAGGGAGGAGTTCTCCGCAAAGAAAATAAGGACATTTGGAGGACATTAGTGCTGCTTTACAAGAGCCTCAGAGAGCAATGAAGTAGAAAGGAGGGGGTCTCTCTGCCTGATCAAAATGCACATGGTGGCTCTGGTCCCGTCAGCAGAGAAGAAAAGACACCGCTCCCTTCCAGACTCTCACAGATGCTCTCTTGTTGAATCAAACTGTGCAGTCACGTGGTATTAAGAACAGTTGTCATGTCAACTGTCTGCATCAGTATCAAGGTGACCCAAAACAACAGGTTTGCACATTAAACACACAATGTGTTGATGTTGTTTTGTGTCTCACCTTTATCTTGGCCGCAAAGGTTTTGGCCGGCTCCACCATGAAGTGGAAACACTGCATCATCTTGGCTGGCCTGTGATTAGAGTCCGACAGTGAATAAACACAAATACTTGACACATTACAAGTTACATGGTTATAAGATTAACAGTGGTGGAATGAACTCAGTACTTTTACTTAAAGTACTGTACTTCAACAATTTGACATACTTGTACTTTACTTTAATGTTTCCATTTTATGATACTTAATATTCTTCTACTCTAGTACATCTATTTGAAACTTAGTTACTTCTTGTTATATGATGTGTTTCATAAGATATGATGCAGTACTGCATACTTATTGTAACATTTATAAGCTCTTACATGAATTAATTGGTAACAAAAACAAAATATTATAATGTTCACTTTGAATGTAGCCTTTCTGCATAATGAGTACTTTTGATACTTTAATTACATTTTGCTGATAATACATCTGTATTTAAGTAACATTTTTAATTCAGGACTTAAAACTGTGTTTTTTCTCCATCATTACTTAAGTAAAGGATCTGAGTACTTCTTCCACCACTGAAGATTACTCTCTTACTTACTCTGGCCCTTTCTTGACATCATGTGATGAAGTGAAACATCACAACTTGCTATTTAATAATTAGCCAACCAGTTCAGGGTCAAATCTTGACTCTGAAGCCCAAACGTATTTTTAGTTTTGGTCTGTGAGATTTAAAAGAAAATGGAGACATTGCTGATGTTTACATCAAAAACACCAGAATGTCATGTAAACCATTAAATATTCAGAGCAGAGAGTGATCACAGCAGCTTATTAAAAGTGAGGGATGTCGTGTCCTCGGCTTTAGCAGCTTTAATTAACATGTAAAGTTAATGAAATCAAATATTCGGTCCAAGAGGAAGTCTTTCGGGTCCAGAACACATAAATGAATGATTGACTGGAGCAGAATGGAGCTCTCAGAGCAGGCGGTCTGAATCGTGACTGGCCCTGCACACTTCTCCCTGCCTGAGAGTGTCCTTGGTTAGTCTCTCTCTTTTCTGTCCTCCTCACGCACTGTTCTCTCCATCGTCATCTGCAGAAAAACGCACCAGCTGCAGTCTGTGTCTGTCTGGCACTGATGCCGCTGGGATGACCAGTTTAAACTGGTTTTCATGCCCACACTGAGGATGATGTGGGTGAATGCATTGGCATGAATAAAGTTGTACTTGCATGTCACTTCACCCATTAAATTATAAGGAACTAGTGTTTATCCCCAGTTTCATAGTGAGGCTGGTTTGTTCATTAATTAAGTTATGCAGGTTAATTATTAAAACATTGAGTGTTTGCAGCACATCGAGCTCCATAAAGCTGCAGCACTCAGGTATTTGTACATACTGTACCTGTGTGGGTGTGTTTCAATACAATGTATGCAGTGATTATAATTCATAGTAAGCTGTTAAACTAAATTACATTTTTTCATAAATAAGAGAAAGACATTGGAATTGCAGAGACTGAAGTCATGCCAAAGGGCGACTGAAAAGAAACGCTCCTGTAGAAAGGGTTATCAATGTCGTGGGAAAACATGACCGTGCAGTTTCTGCAGCGTCAGAGCGACCCAGTTAGAGGCCAGCTGATGACTGCGCACGAGGTAAACACATACCTGCCGCGTGACTTTGCGGCAAATTTATATCATAACTGCAGTTAGACTCCTAGTGCACGTTGAAAACGGGATTTATCTGAAGCTGTGCATGCAACAGAATGACATCATTTATACATTTATGCTGGTCATGTCATATAACTGCAGTGCGGACGTGCAACAACAACACAAATAGCACACGGTGGATAACGCACACATGATGCACGAGCCTACCTTTCTCCTCAGAGGTTTAGTAAATAAGTTGTTCTTCTTCTCTTTCCTTAAAAGCGAGCAGCCGTCCGCGTCTGGAGGAGGTGTTCGGACTGTGTGCTGCAGTGTCTGACCTTGTTTACATGCCGGACTGACGGTCGGCTGCTCGGGCAGGTTCGGTTTTCTCCGTCAGTGACGAACGAGGAGGGAGGAGGACGAAGCGCGCGGCCATGTAAGTGATAATCTATGACGCTGTTACTGACGCAGGTTTACATTTTAATAAAACTGTGGTTATTATTTAAAAGAATAACTCTACTATTAACCACTTCTTTTTTTAATGATAGCTGTAGGTACTTTGCATATTTTTATACAAAACGATCACTTTATGAAATGTAATGCATGGTGCAGATTAACCCGCCTAACAACTTTGTTATTTTAAAGTTGTTAAAATGAGCTCCATCTCCGTCAGATACAGCATTAAAATGTTGTTTACATCTTTATTCATCAGTAATAATAATCCTGTAATATATAATAATTTAACATTCTGCAGCATACTAAATACTTCAGCTTTTAATACCTTGAGTACATTTTGTTGATAATACTCCAAAGTAATACTTTAAATGCAGGACTTTTGTCTGTAGAATTTGTACACTGTTGTATTTCTACTTTAATTATGTAAAGGATCAGAATACTACCAATAATACCAGCGAGACTTAAATTCAGACCTGATACATGTTCACAGTGATATAAACTCTGACTTAATCATCAAAGACCTGATATGAGAAATATAAATAAATAACACAGGGAATATTGTTGGTCTGCTGCTTTTTTTCAAATAAAAAGTCGGGCTGCTTATGTGACTCAATGTGATTGAAACAATCAAAAGTATTAAGATTAAGACAAAGAAACATTTGATCAGAGATGAAAAAGACTAATTTGAGACTCTTGTCTAATGAGTGTGACTTCAGAGTTTCACAAACAGAGATATATTTTGTCTTTTTCAGTCAAAGGGAACGACTGGTGACACTATTCTGCCTGCAGGCTCCTCGGTCGTGGACCTCCACTGGGCTTTTCACTGACATGGCCATTAAACACGGTCATATGATCCGATGTTGATATAAATATATTGACATCAAAACATACGGCCCACAACCGGTTTTTCCTGCTCCACTGAGAACAAACCACTTGATTTTAACAGTAATATTCTTAACCCTTCCTACATACACATTTGATCTTTTTTCCAATAATGTGTTTTTGAATCTTAATAGCAGCTTATGAGCTGAAGAAAAAGATTATTAAAAAAATGAAAAAACATTCAAGGAGCTTCAATTAAAATCAGGGTGAATCAAGGGGCAGGCGATTCCCTGCAAATCCCTGCTTAAATAGTCATAATGTGCTATTGCTGTATAATTAGAACAGTCTGGCATCAACAACAACAAAAAAGAAAGGATTTATTACATTTGTTTTCAGAAATAATAATGTGGAGCCACTCTTTTTTCTTCAATAAATAGAGTACATGACAATGTGCGGGACAAACATTTGGCATGTGTGCATGGTAGGTCGCAAAACAATAACCTGTGGTCAAGAAAAACCAAGCAAGGAAGCAGAGCTTCACTGATACTGATATCAGTCTGATACTGACTCAAACAGCTTGTTTTCCGTGACAATGGGACGATCTGGTATTGGATAGCATTATTTTAATAAATAACAATTCAGTGCATTTATATCAATGTGTTTGTTTGTTACATTTTGTTTCATAAAGTTAGGAAAACAATGTCTAACTCAAGCCTGATGTTGCCTTACACATAAAAGAACGATCACTTCCACACAGTGAGACATAACACAGATAAACATCACATCCGTTCTCAGCATCCAATGTCACCCAGAGACAAAGTGTTGGTATCGGGACTTGTTATTGTTTTCATTTCTTCACTCTGCCCCTTGAAACCTTTTGGAGAACAGAACAAATCAATGTGTCGATAGCTATAAATAAGTGAGAAATCATCCAGAGTCCCATCGGCCTTAAATGAAAAAATAAGCATGGTAAAAAAACAAACACCTGTCTTATAATAACTTCATGAAGGCACTCTCATCAGCACCTTTTCTGAACTCTCCCTCTCACAGGCTGACCTACGTGCTCGGCCTCGACAGAAACAAACAGGTGTCTGATAACATTACAAACCTGACAATGAGGCTTCTGGCTCAGGGACAGCACAATAAAAGAGAAGACAGCTGTTCGCTTACAGTATTATCAACAAAGTAAATAGCGGTTCCCTTTTTGGTTTCATGTAGTCCGTGACTTTCTTCTTCAAGGTGTACCAGCCACCTCAGTAAATATTAATATCCAGTGATTCTCCAGTGAGTACAGTACCTGTCGTTAAGTGTTCTTAACATTCAAACGTGCCGAGCCACAGCTGTCCTTTCCCGAAGCTCCTCTTTGGTTGCTCCTTCATCAACATCTCAACATAAACTCTCGTCTTAAAGTCTTGAGGTAACTGAAGGATCCAGTCGTGATCCAGTCTCCAACAAGTCTCGTGTGGTTTTTTTTGGTAACTTCCTCTGTTTATAAAGCTTTCACATGTCTCTCACATGCATCGTAGAGAAGCTCGCTTCAGTAATCAATCACACGGGTAGAACAGCGCTGTTGGTGTCAGAGGTGATAGGAGGAGGCGTGTCGGGCCCGGTGCTGGTGTAGATGCTCTGAGGAGGAGAGATGTCCCGGCTGGAGGAGAGGATGACGTACGGCAGCTCCATAGAGGGGCGGATGCTCTCTTCATAAGTAGGAGGAGGCTGGAGGAAAGGAGTCAAAACAAGACGGATTTTAGGACGAGAATAGGTGGACATCAATCGAGCTCAAACATTATCGAAGTTGACGGACAATTTTTCCCTGATGTTGAATTTTTAATATTAAGATGTCGGCCATGTTATCTGCCCAGAGAGTTGTTTTGTTGCTGCTGTTTACATTCCTCTTGATGTGATTTTAAGAAGATGCACTACTATTTAGTTTTGTCTTGTGAAGCATCAAAAGGACAACTGCATTTCGTTGTGCAACCCTATAATAAAGGATCTTTGAACCTTGAACAGTGTAGTGACGTAAGTTCTGTCTATTTCTATGAAGACTATAATGTTCAGTTTCTGTTGACACCATCATGATGTTAATTCAATTCTATGTTGTAGCATTGAGGTCATTATGGTGCACTGACAAAGTATATATTCTGGACCCGTCGTGTCTGTGAATATAGGAACGCCTCTCAATATAATGTAGTCCAATACAACACCACCTTTAACTACGACAATGACACCAGACACCGACTAGATTGTACAGGTGTACCTAATAAAGTGGCCACTCAGTGTATATATTCGATGCAAAGCTTTGGATTGAATGGAGTTATTTGACTTTTTTTGACAGTATAGGACACGTTGAAGATTCATCCGGCACAGCAAAGAGCAAACTAGATGTACTGCAGATATAAATGTTAAATAAATATGGAAGACCCTAATAAAATCTCCTGCGACCCACCTGTGTGTCCCGACACAGTCTTTGGGAGTGATTTACAGACAAAGACAAAACAAACTAAACAGAATCTACACAAGTCAGAAACAGTATAACCAAAGTTATTCACGGTGGAACAGAACAAGTTTTTCCTCGGGATGAAAAGTGAAAACATCCTGAGGTCTGATATCCATCCCTGAAGATAAGTGGATCCTGTTTGTATTTACTCTACCAATTAATCTCCACGTCAGTCGCCTGGAACATACTTTTTCTCCAGTACATTATCTCTCTGATCACATCTGGCTGATTCCCTTTACCCGACTGGGTCTTCTTATCTTTTAATTGCTTGGGGACCCTCGGGGGACAGGAGCAACCCCACAACTCTGCCCTCTGTGTGATACACACCATAAACACACACACACACACACACACACATACACGCGCACATTCACACACCAGGCCGCTAAGTTTTACTACCATCCTGCCTCGGTCAGACAGACAGGGGCAGATATTAAGGGGCCATCGGGTGAACTTTAGTTATGGGGTGAGGGAGACTTTTAAGTGACTGGTGATGGGTTGACTGGAAAGTATACCGTGTGTGTGCCTTCTTTGTGTGTGTGTGTGTGTGTGTGTGTGTGTGTGTGTGTGTGTAAGAGATGGAAGGATTGTTTAATCAAGGAAAAAGGAGAAGGTCAAAGAAGAAGAAAAAAATCAGTAGAAGACGGGAGCACAAAGCTGCATTCCCATGCTCTGTTTGCTCTCAGGACGCCGGCCCTTAATTTATGTTTGATGTGCCTCTTACTCATTACCTTGTTTGCTCAAGCGTTGTGCGAGTCAAAAGCTCAGCGAAAGATCAACACGGTAAAACCTTGAAACGCAGCCGCCAGCACAATTCCGCAGCGAGCCCGAGATGAGCCGATAGAGAATCCTGTTCACTGCACTCTGAATGCAGTCTAATCTTTGAACAAGCTCTTGTTACAATATTGTATGACAGCGTGGTCATAATATAAAGAGCCTGCTTCTTATTATCTCCATTCATTGTGAAGATACATGCCGGGGGCCTCCATAACAACATGAGTTTATATGAGATTTAGCTTTTCCTCAAACTGTAACAGGAGCACAACATCTTCTCTGAACAACAGCACCTGAACGTACTTCATTGTCAAAAAGCATTTGTGACTGTATCAAGTGCCGCGACACATTCCTAATCCCTAATTTAGCTGACCTCGGTCACAATGGGTCCATTGAGGCCGAAGCGGTCCGCGATCATCATGTGGATCTGCCTCTGGCGGTCCTTCTTTCGGACGCTCTCGTAGGAGGGGAGCCTCGGCAGGGGGCCCTCCAGTGTGGGCAGGCTGTAGCTGGAGGGCAGGCCGACGTAGAACAGCTGATCCGCCTGATGAGACACAGAGGGACACTCACGAGGGACGGGAAACAGGAGCTTTCATGTGCCACTTTAAAGCTCATTTAAAACTTCGCCTCAGAGGTAGGTGCTGCCTGATGTTCCCGATGATATGTTTACTGCACAGTGTGTGTGGACAGTGTACACAGAATGGAAGAGGGATGCTTTGAGTGGCTCTCTCACCTGAGTGCTGTCAACCATGATCTGAGTCGGCTCGAGACAAGGAGATCCCACCAGTGTCTGCCTGCTGCTGTAGTACTGAGGAGGAGCGTGCTGTAAAACAAGCAGTCACAACTGTGTCTCAGAAAGAGGAGCATTAACAGTTATCCTGCTGCAATTAGTCAAAAATCCACTCCTTTCAGCCCAATTAACCGATGTTCATGCCTTGTTTAATCACTGTAGACGCTGGCTGGTTTAGCGATGCCATAAATCATCTAATCAATGAGAAGACCACCCTCCAATTTCCGTTCCTCCTCCCAGTCCCACCCACTCTAAAACAAGGTGCAATCCTGACAAAAAAGACCAGCCAGGGAAACTCTGTAATTGCCTGGAGTCTAAATGAGTCCTCCTTTGTGCGGAGAACAATGCGATGTCCTACTGTGCATCAGGGTCCCTCGGCAACAAACCCCACCGTGTGGTCTGTTGAGTGTCTCTCTCTTCCCCTTGTAACTGCAGCAGGTACCTCTTAACGAGCACACTCCACTGCACATTATGGCCTCGTATGTCATTTGGGCCGGCAGCGCAACAAAGTCAATTTGTCGCCTGACTCGGATTTAAATCCAGCGTGAGGATGAGAGACGTTGGGACAACTTTTTGCTTTTATCACTGAGGAGATGTCCTCTGACTGAGAAGCAACAAAAGTCTAAAAAGTGGTATTGAAACATCAGATTTATCTTTTTCCCAGGCCAGTTAATACAAACAATGACATCACTCACACTTAAGAGTGACGCAAACTAACGACCTTTGCCATAATCCTCACGTCGTTTCAGAGGGAGACTGACGACACCAAAGAAGTGATGTCAAAGGTCACTTTCCCCTCACTGGTTTGTACTTTTAAGAAGCAACAAAAAAAAAAAAAAGTCCTCAAGGAAGAGAAAAAAAAGGAGACTTGTCCTTTTGTCTCCTGCCATTTATTCAGCCAGTGTGAAAAAGCACAACCGTGTAAAATCAGTGCTGAAGTCGGGGGAGGAACCCCGGCGGCAGTGTGTGCCTTTTTTCCACCGCTGCAACCTAAAGGAGACCCATTGTCCCCCTTGTGTCCCCAACACCCACAGAGGGGTCGGCCCACTATTCATGGTGCAAACTGAAGCAGGGAAAGGTATGCGACGATGAAGTTGAAGACGTGAAATGTCCCAGAGGAGCACAATGAAAGTGTTTGTGTGTGTTTTCATTCGTGGAATGACTAACCTTCACTTTCTGTGTCCTTATAATGAAAACAACACAAAGCCTTTTCGGTTCCAGGAAAATATTGACTCTGAAGTCTATTAATTATCCCGTAGCAAATGAAAATGAACTCTGAAACAAAAATATGGGTGCAGACTCCGTCACTCTGTTTACGGTCTGTAAGTTATCAGCTAAGCTGTGTACCTACACCGCTGTAACTAAGGCCACTATGTACCAGTGAAATGCTCCGTTAGCTCCTTAAATGGGACAACAGGACTCCTCCGTTAAAAACTTAAAACCCCTCAGCTGAACAGAGCTTCCTGTCTGTTGAAGGGGGAGGTCTGAGTGGCATCTCTGCGACCCAAAGATAACACTCAGACTTCACCCCTGTGACTCACGGAGGTGAGAAACAAGTCAGGAAGAGGAAGCAGAGAGAATGGGCTTCCAATGAAAAGTTACCTCTGTGTTTACATTTCCTTTTCACCTCGTCCTGAACCATCGCCCACAGCTTTATTCTGTTACCTTTTTTTAGATTGAGGGATTTGTGATGTTTGAGGTGTGAAAAAAATAGATTCATAATGACATAAAAGGCCACACGCTCTCTTAAAGATTAGGTTGTTTTGCTTCACCTGCTACACTGACGTTAGCGACAAAATGTGATTTGCAGTGATTTAATTACACTGGTGCTGAAGTAGCATCAATATGCGCGGTAAGTGCTAATTCTGTCCAATTGCATTAGAGTTACTGCGGCAGATATTTCTGGAGGGCAGCTAATCCACCGCCTGACAATGATCATATCAGGTTTATTGTAGTCCTTTTCCCACAGCCATGCAAATTGAATGTGACACTCTGTAATGGCGCGACATCGAGTGCACATGGTGTCTTTGAGTCCTCTCTCTCTCTCTCTCTCTTTCTCTCTCTCTCTCTCTCTCTCTCTCTCTCTCTTCAGCGGGACCTCAACAACTGGATCAGAATTGAACATACGAGACACTCAGCAAAAAAGGCACTTTCTCCCTTTCGGTTTTCTTCTCACCATATCTGCACGTGGCCCCTGGTAGGAGCAGCATTTGCAGCACTGAAGATCCTTGTGATAAATGACGGACAGCAGCACCACAATAACCACAAAGAACACCAGAGAGGAAACTGTTTGAAAAGCAGGAGAGAAGAGATGCTTGTTAGTCGCTGTTAAACAAACTGACTTTTTGTTTGTTTTCCAGCTGTAAAACAACTTGTAAAAGAACCGTTTTGTCCTTTTTAGCAGTTCTGATCTGTGAATTTGGTTAAATGTAGTGAGCTTTGAGTTCTGACTGACAGTCTGTCTCTGCAGTTTGAAAAAACTTGAAGGTGTAATTTCTCTCCTGTCTGTCAAAAACAATGACAGCTGGAAAACAATAGACTAACTCTGTAATTAATTATAGTTCAGAGCTCTGAGTGCAATATGTGACGGATCAAAAGAGCTGTTAACTATAAAAGGGAATTATCCACCCTTATCACAATGCTGCCATATGTCAAGAATAAGTGCAAATATGCAGGAAGCAGAACATTTAAAATCACTTTCCAGAGACAGATGTTGAGAGACATTTTTAAGAGTTAACTTACAGCATGCAGCGACCACTGTGAGCTGATCCGAAGTCAGCTGTGAGGAGGGGATGGTTGGACTTGCAGTTGTGGACATTTCTTCTGTGTGAACTGTCAACGTCTCAATGAGAAATCCTCCTGAACTCACCAGGCTCAACACGAAGCCTCTCATGTCAGCAGAGAAGGAAACGGAGAGCGGCTCCTCGTCATTGTCTGCTCGGTCCCGGACGGTCTACGTGTGTGACAGTCTACATGCGCGCTCTCTCTCTCTCTCTCTCTCTCTCTCTCTCTCTCTCTGCAAGTGGGGATCGAACCCACTCCACTCGGTAAACACACGCCACACAGCGCGTGTGTGTGGAGCTCGTGGAGGCGCACTGACGCCCTCTCAACGGCCGCGTGACGTCGCTCTGACTCCGAGCAGCAGCCCCCAGATTTATTACAGATTTATTACAGATTTATTACAGATTTATTACAGACGGCTCCCCAGAAAACAGCAATATAACACGTCTCACGAGCCGATCGCAAACAGTTCAGATTATGTTGAGGAAGTAGACAGCACGCTGCTTCCTCCGCAGTGGATCCAGACTAGATTAACTCACCGGATGCCTGAGCTGGGGTCCCGTTACCCTGGAGATCGCGGGGGTCCCGTACCGAGATGAGACAAAGGGCGACAATGTAGAGTTAGTATTCATGGAGGGGGAACTGCTTTGTTCAACTTTAAACAACAGACTTATAATAACTTATAATAATTAAGAAAAATGCCTGTCAGGAGTTACTGATACTAAAAAGTAAGGAATAAATAAAATGGATAGAGATGAACATTATAAACCATAACTTTAAGTAATAAGGATGAACAATAGATTAGATGTGTTGGTCTATTCATGGCTGGATTTATCTGATAAAGGCCCACCTAACTATGTGAAGTCTGTGCGTCTTCCTTTGACAGGGTGGATCTCTGAAGTGTGTTCTCAACATATTGACTCTGATAAAGCCTTTCTGAATTGGATCAATAAGCTATATTATATGTTGACCAAAGGCAGCAGCAGGAAGGAAGTCAGCTGTAACCTGAGCCTAATAAGAAGCTGTAGGCTATACTCCAACAAAATGAAGGATAGAAGTAAAAGTCACATGATGTATTTCATAAACCACAACAATTATTCTGTCTGTATATATAATATTTTAGTTATTGTGGATTATTTAATATTCTTTACTGTTTTATTACTTATTTACTTCCTTATAATACTTGTTTTGATCTGTTTTTTACTGTCTCTTGTTCGCACTATACTGTGTGTGTATATATATATACTCCACTATGCTGCTGTAATCCTGTAAATCTCCCCACTGCGGGACTAATATAAAGGATTATCTTATTTTATGTTATACGTTTTTTTAAAGTCTGCGTTTAACAGTAGAATATGTACTCAGTATGAATATGTGATGATAAAATTAAAAAGTTCTGCTGCAGAAGGACACATGAAATATGTGAATTTGTCAGAATAAAAATAACAATACAAACTTTGCAGCAACCTGAGGATGGCGAGCGCCATCGCGTGCCCGCGCAGCTCAGAATGCACCATGCACGCGCTGCGCTCCTCGTCAACTGGAGTCGAGAAAAATGGTGGCCAGCGATCGAGTACAGAAGCTGCTCCGCCGATATAAACTAGCGATAGCCGCCGCGTTAACTATCCTGCTGGTGCAGGGACTCGTGGTATGGAGCCTGAGGAGTCTGGAGGAGGGCGAGGCAGAGGTGAGTCCCAGTCAGTCACAGATTATCTGTTTCTGTGAGGGTTTAATTCTAGAGCTAAACCGCTAACCTGGCGCTTAGCTCCCTGTGTGTTATGATACAGTAGCGCTAGCCGATGCTAGCTGAGTTAGCCGCTGAGTGAACAGCGCCGCTCCGAAACATTTCGGTAACGTTACAACCGGAGCAGCCCCGTCCTGTCTGTCTGTCTGTCTGTCTGTCTGTCTGTCTGTCTGTCGGCCGGCCGGCGACCACGACACCAGACTAGTTCAGTACACATTACTACGTGTTTATAAATATGAAATCATACGTATTTATGGTACTGGTTTAGTGGTTGTTAACTTGTTTAAGAAGCAGCAGTGGTCACTAACGTTACATTTCATTTGGAGTCACTGTTGATGATGATGAGTAAGTACCAAATCCAAGAGTAAGAGGGCGTCTATGAAGTGATGTAACTTTTTAGGAACACGTGAAAGGACTCATTGATTCATTGATCACAAACTGTTCATCACGATGAGCTGAAAACGCGCCGTTAGGCACCTCTGCACATCTGCTCCACTGTTTGTGTTTATATCCACACAGAGGCGTTTCCTCTGTGTGGGGGGCTGCTCTTTATATGTGACCTTCACTCAGCTTTGAATCACACCTAAACACCCGCAGAGGGATAAAGGTGAAAGTCGATCCTCTCCATGCCACTGAAACAACTCGTCTAACATTAACCACCGTGGGAAGCTTATCTTATCTCTGTGTCTCCCTCGCACACCTGGAGCTCTCCGCCCTGAGGCAGTGCCTGTTCCTGGTCTCCCTCTGAATGAGGTGAAGGGAGTTTGTTAACAGATGTGACACGTAGAGGAGTCTTTCTTTTTTTTTTTTAGTGAGTGTCACAGGAATGAACGCTGCTGAATCCCTGATCATGATGCATAACAAGCGTGGGCGCACTGTATGTATGATATCCCCCCCAACATGGACATCAGTGCCTGGAGGGTGAAGTAATGCTAAAGTTTGACCCGGAGATGCTTAAAATAAGGGATCATGATTCTGTCAATGGTTGTCATTCACCACCTCGATGAAGTAATCATTTCCTTAAACGGGACATTGTGACAAAACGGGAAGTGTGACATGTGGTTCATCATGTTGCTTTTTAATTCAATCACCTGTCTGCATATTGAGCCTCTGGGCTTTCTGCTCCCTCATCAGGTGCATCCAGGCTTAAACATGCTTCAGCAGAGGCACAGAGACATGTCTGTAGGGACTGTGAAGGAGCAGACGTACACACCTGTATAATCCCATCACTGCTGCACACAGTATTTGCTGTCCAGTGTTTCTTTGTGTTTGTTTTCTTAGTTCGTGTTTGTTCTTGGTGAAGTCTGGCTTCAGTAATGTGACACTGCTGCTCAGCCTGACATGAAACTGTGTCGGCAGACAACTGTGCAAATGTCAGCGCGTTGCGTCTTTGCATGTTCTAACTCGCATCTGCTCTAATCGGTGTCTCGCTGTGCATGTGTGAACTTGGCCACATTGGTTTATATTTAAAGCCCTTGAAGGGGGGAAGGACAGAAGAAGAAGAAGACTGTCACCCTCTGCTTTGCCTGTGCTGTCCTACAGAGCTGAGCGCTCGCTGCTGCTTCACCGCTTCAGCAGATGGTGACGCCGATATGGTTTCCCTCCTCTTTTTAATTGGAAAGAGAAGAGGCTGCACGGCTCGCCTTTGAATCAATACAATTTTTGACACGATGGCGTTAATTAAAAGCTGTGAAAATGAGTGATAAGGAAAGTGGAAACATTAGCCCCCGCTGCGCTCCGTCTTACTCCTGCAGCCGAAAATATCTGTCAGTGTCGACTGGCAAGATGAAGTTCACGGTAGTGTTTTTATTAATACATCAGGACTTTGATGTTGTTTGATGGTTTCTTTAGCATAAATCTAGCTGTGTGAACCGGGTGTCTTCAGGAAACCAGCTTTCTTGTTGAGGAGACGTTTGGACCACAACACGACAATAACCAGGTTACTCAAGCGCATGTAGACTCACTGAAAGAGGCCCCGCGCTGCAATGACTGGTATGTCACTGGGCTTAACAATGCCCCTCACTGTACTGGGCCTGAGAGTCCAGTTGGCCACCGGCAGCAGACTCTGCTGTGTTGGTTGGCAGCTGGTTTTCGTTGGCACGGTGTTATCTGGCTCCCCGTCCCACCACGCAGCACCGGTCCCCTGTTCCTTTCTGCCACATCGTTTGACAAGAGGCAGAGAGCTCTCAGCCCACTTGCTGCTCTTCTTCCTCTTCTTCCTCTTCTCCCAGCGCACATTTTGAAGGGCCCTTTTGTGTGATCCAGGAATCTGGTGTGCCAAAGCTGTGACGCTGTTTGGCTAGAAGATTTTAAAATGGCTAAAGTCCTGTTTTTGAAGGTGGTGCTCCAGTGAGACTGATTCCCTCGATACACTTCAATTAAAATGATGCTGTACGCTCTGGGTATTGAAACTGCAGGAGGACACACAGATTAATGATGGTTGTGGTGCATCCGACTGGGTCCGTACATTATTACAGTACCTCACTGACACAGAACTGAAATGTCATTTTTCTATTAGGAACACAACAGATCCCTCGGAATGGATCTCTCCCTGATTGCTGTTACTTCCAGTTTTGGGACATTTGAACACTTTGACTGAAGCAGATGTAATGTAAGAGGACCATGTCTTGACATTTTAGAGTTTATAAAGTCTCAGGATGATTTTGAGATGCGAATCTCATACAAAAATCATGCAGTCATGATGAAATGAAGATATATTAATTATAAAAACATAAAAAAATAATGATGCCTAGCTGGGTCAAATCCTACGCTAGTCTCAAGCAAAGAGCATGTGTGCAGTATCTGACATCTGAATCTACATTCACTGTATTTACTCCTCTGATATAAGTGCATTTTTTTCTCTCTTTTTTTTTTTTTTCCACAAACATGCATACACATGCAGTAACAACAAATGCCAACACCCCCCCCCAAACACAGACATAGGCACACACACACAAACACAGTTTCATGCTCGGTTTCCGTGTTCGTGTCTACGTTTGTTTACACCCTTCCTGCATTTTCTTCTTGCCAGAGGGTGCAGACAGAGGTTGGTTGAGGTCTCTACAGTTAATCACTGGATTCAGAGTGTGTGTGTGTGTGTGTGTGTGTGTGTGTGTGTGTGTGTGTGTGTGTGTGTGTGTGTGTGTGTGTGTGTGTGTGTGTGTGTGTGTGGGGCTATGGCTATGGCTATCCAGAACTGTGCCTTTTGCAGATTAGCTTCACAAAAAGGCAGCGGCTCAGCTAAAAATAACCCAGATCAGAGAAATGGGGAAAAAAGAGAAGTAAACACATCCTTCCCTCTGCGGCTCCCGCAGCTTTTGTCTTAGTGGTGGTCTTAGTTTACCTCAAGTTATTCCTGGATTGTGAATCAATGTTTCCTCCCAGTAGTGTTTGTCCAGGATGTTCTTAGCAATAACCCCCTTCTCTTTCCTGCTTTCTTCTTCTCTCCTCAGCGAAAAACACGGCGGTCTAAGCTGCCTGACCACAACAGCCAGGACCTCAAAAGAGACTCCTCTCTTTGGGAGAAACAAAACTCTTTGTCGGGGAGGAACCGGGGCCGATGGAGCGGCAGGTCGGAGAGGACGGGGGGCACGGCGGCCAGTGCGCTGAGGAGAGGCACCAGCCGCAGAGGGGAGAAGCCGGGCATCAGGCCGAAGTCTCCCCAGGAGCAGGGGATGGCGGGAGCCGGGCTGGACGGCGTGGTCCTCCCCGACCGGTCCAGCAGCCGTAACTTCAGCGAGACCCGAGGCGGAGCCGACGGGGCGGCCAAGTTGCCGGCCGCCCCCGTCGCCGTACTGGGGGAGCCGGGCAGCGTGGACGGGGCGCACCACCCCCCCAGCAGTGACTTTGTGCCCAAATGTGACATCAGAGGCAAGGACGCGCTGTCTGCCCTTCATCGCGCCGGGTCGCAGCAGTGCAGACAGGAGATCGGCAACATCGTGTGTCAGCATCAGGCCGGGAAGCTCATGCCGGTCGCACTCCCTCAGTTCTGCCCCCAGCTCGGTGAGAACAAACAGATAGGTGGCAAATAGTATCTTTATTTGGAGATGTTGTGGTTTACATACTTGAGAACATGCATTTTTGAAGTCACTAGGATTTGTTGCAGTAAATTACAACAACAACAAAAAGAATTCCCATAAATGTGGTACTATGTAACCTGCGAAAACCATCTTTTATCCATCGGACGGTGTCTTTCTCAACACCCAGCCTACGAGTTTTCTCTGGTCCCTGCTGATTCAGTCCTTTATGTGTCTGTCCTCTTTGACCAGGAATATCAAATCAGGTCCAGGCCTTTGGCGAGCTGGACAACAGCCTGTCCAGAGTGGAGAACCCCGTCAGAGTGGCTTTCGTTTTGATGGTGCACGGCCGAGCTATACGGCAGCTCAAGCGCCTCATCAAAGCCATATATCACCGCGACCACTACTACTACATCCACGTGGACAAGGTGAGCCCTACAGGGAGACTACCAAACATTCTCTGTAACATGTACATGGCATCGCAAATGCACTCAGACGGCACAATCCTGCACGAGAGAATTCCTTCTTCTACTGCTGCTGGTGGTGGTACGAGCTTTTCGTTTATTTATGGTGATGCTGAACACTGAAGAGCGTTATTTGGCTCCCTGCTCGGTTCTGGCTTTACGGAGCTCACAAACGCTTTTACCGGTTAGTTCTTGGTGCATTATGGAGGTTAAATATATCCCGTGGGGCTCGCAGTGTGGTAAAGGGGATTAGCCTGGATAGACTAAAGTGTGGTTATTCTTAGGGGCTGGATTTAGTGGAGGAAAAGTCTGCTATCGTGTGCAGCTCGAAGACAAATGTACAGCCGACCTCAGGTGCCTGTCGTCGGTGCACCTGTTTAGCCGGAAAGGTTGTTGAGTCCTGGAGAGTCGCTCTGTTCGGCTGCCAAAGGATGGTGGAAGAGGCTCTCAGGAGGCAGTGATGAATAGGTAGTGAGTGGGACAGACGCCATCTCAGACACTTTTATTTATCACGGAGGCAAAAGCCTGTTTGACAGATGAGTCTGTGAAACAGGTCAGCTTGTACTCGAGTCTGTCTCCCAGGTCCTCTACGAGTGAGGATAGTGAGTTTAGGACTTTCTGTTGCTGTTCTCTCCTTCATGAACACAACCAGGATGTCTGAAGAAGTCCCGGCTAAATTTAAGACTCGCCCACAGTTTATTTAACACAGGACGGAGCCGGTAGCACACAGTTTGTGCTTCACGAAACAAAAGAATTGGACTTTATGTCCCTGAACAAAGTGTCTTTTCTCTGCTAAACTGCAAATTTATCGCTTCAGGACCTTTTTTATTCGCCGTGGTCATTTGTAAACAGGCTGCTTGTTAATGAGTTGGTGATTAATCTAATTAAAGGGAAATTTTAACAAAAGGTATTTTTGAACCTACAGATTTTGAGCTTCCTCGTGGCTCCGTCTCTCACCACCTCTAATGAATAAAGCTTCACAGCTGCTCGGCTCTTTGACTTCCTTTTACAGAGTAGTATCCTTTAAGCTCCGCTCATCTCAGTTCTGTGTTGCTATCACCTATTGCCACTTTGAGAAGGAAAAAGGCAAAACTAGCTCATTTCTATTTCCTCTATCTTTATGGTGACCCACAACACAAAGCACCATGTGGCTGTTGTTCTGCTCACATCAAATTGTCTTTCAACTGGAGCCAGCTTTGTGTGCTTGTGTTTGCACAGCTGCAGATGTGTGGAGAGCTACATTATTACCTTTGTGATGCAGGAACTCTGCCTTTTTTGCTTTGAAACTCTGCAGCGGTCCGGGTACTTGCACCGGGAGGTCCTGCAGCTCGCCCAGCAGTACCCGAACATCCGAGCCACGCCCTGGCGGATGGTCACCATCTGGGGCGGTGCCAGCCTCCTGAAGGCCTACCTACGCAGCATGCAGGACCTGCTCTCCATGGCGGACTGGAAGTGGGATTTTTTCATCAACCTCAGCGCCACAGATTTCCCCACCAGGTCGGCAGATTAACGTCATTGTTATGCATTTAAACGTCATTGTTATGCATTTAAACGTCATTGTTATGCATTTAAACGCCATTCGAGTGTTAAATACAGTGCAAATACATGTGTTGTGCATCAGAGCCGTGGCAGCATTTCCAGTATGTGTTGATTATTTCATGATTGCCTTGTTTGCTGGTGGTTTAATCTTTCAATAGAGCAGATTTGAGTCCTTCGCTGACCGACTGACTGTAACATTAGTAGCAGCCGAAGCATTTGCCAGATGAATAGAAAGCTATCTTTCTCGCTGATTTCTGGGGCTGCTTTGATTGGTTGGATGCACACAGACAATCCCATGTCAACAGGAATCCTGTCTACAGTAGCTAATTCCACTCATGAATATTATCAGACAGCGCCATACTCGAGCCAGCATTTTATCTTCCAAAAAACCTCCGTGAAATCTCTTTTTGTCTTTCTTAAACCGAACCTGGCTTCCTTACGATTCTCACCGTAACACCTTCCTGCAGGACCAACGATGAACTGGTGGCGTTCCTGTCACAGCAAAGAGACAAGAACTTCCTCAAGTCCCACGGGAGAGAAAACGCCCGGTGAGTGTTCCAGCTGCGAGATAAAAAGCAGCTAAACAACATTTGGTTTTTGTTTGATCACTCGCGTTGATAAATGCTGCAAGTAGCACCACGATGTCTCCTATTTAAACCGCGTTCTGTCTGTGTGGAAGGTTTATTAAGAAGCAGGGCCTCGACCGTCTCTTCCACGAGTGCGACAACCACATGTGGCGTCTCGGCGAGCGCAGCATCCCAGAAGGCCTCGAGGTCTCGGGCGGCTCCGATTGGTTCGCGCTCACCCGCCGCTTCGTCGAGTACGTCATGAACTCCCAGGATGATCTGGTGTCGGGGCTGAAGCAGTTCTATTCCTACGCTCTGCTCCCCGCTGAGGTGAGTAAGCCTGAGGTGGTCTGTTTGTCTCCCCCTAGTCGAGACAAGACAGTTTGATGTACAAGTCTGTCTCAGAAGAGCCCAGCAGCGGAGATAATGTAATACTTTAAGCTGCCGGGCGCAGCAGAGGTGCCAGACGAGAGAAGGGTTCCTTTGAGTTTATCTGGCTGTGTGCTTCAAAGTCTTAGGAGGTGCGGTGGTTTGTTCCCTGTTGAGGCACTTTCGAGCCAGTGGACATAAACTTTTTATACTTCGTCTCTGACCGTTTACAGTATCTTCACTCTCACACAACACAGCCTTTGTTGCACAGCACTAACGGTGTATTTATTTCCTCCTAGTCCTTCTTCCACACGGTGCTGGGTAACAGTCACATGTGTGACACCCTGGTGGACAACAACCTGCGCGTCACCAACTGGAACCGTAAGCTGGGCTGTAAATGCCAGTACAAGCACATTGTGGACTGGTGTGGCTGCTCCCCCAATGACTTCAAACCACAAGACCTCATCCGGATCCAGGTGAGTGGGCCAGCTGCAGAGCAACAACTGCTTTTAACCTAGCTTGTAGTTTCCCAGTCTCTCGTGTTTTAAGCGTCTCGAAACCTCTTTTTTTTGTTTTTTCTTTGTTTTTCTTACAGCAACTGACCCGTCTGACATTCTTTGCACGCAAGTTTGAGTCGTCGGTGAACCAGGAGGCCATAGACATCCTGGACACTCACCTGTACGGCCAGTACGCTCCGGGCACCGTTGCCGTTAAGGCGTACTGGGAAAGTCTGTTCGAGCAGCTGGAAGGCGTGGGCTCGCTCGGGGACGCGGCTCTCACCGCTTACACTGCTTTCTTTCGTCTGGGCCTCAAGAATCTGGCAACTACTCAGAGCAACGTGGAGGCCTGCAGGTCCGTAGACACGGTTTACTTTTTACATTTTTGGGGGGGAAACAGGTGAAAATAATTGTCTTTTTTTCTGCAGGTTTGAACCAGTAGACTACCCTCTATCAGTACACGTTTACTTTTATGACGACCGCTTCCAAGGGTATCTGGTGCGGCAGGAAGTCCAGGCGGTGGGTTCAGAGTTCAGGGAGACACTGGAGATGTGGGCGGTGCCCCAAGCCACGCTGGTCCTCGAGAGGAACCTGAAGGAGTTTGAAAGGCTCAAGAACCTGGAAGTAAGATGAGGATTCTTCATCATCATTGTGCAAACCTTTTCATATCAAGGTGCCTTCAGAAAACTGCTTCACGGGAAGATTTCCTTCCTGATATGGGAAAAATTGGCTTAATTTTATCGGGGCTTAATCCGACCAAAACTAGACTTTGAAGTTGAATTAATTATTTTGGGAGTAAAGCTAGAGAGTGCTAACATATTCTGTCTCCTTGTCCTCAAATACAATGTGAAAGTCGGAGCCGGAGGAGGCATTGTATTGCTCTATTGTGTCACATAATCCATTGATTCCTTTTGTCTTTCTCCCCGGCAGATCGGCACAGAGTGGGATCCGAAAGAAAGAATCTTTCGTAACTTTGGCGGCGTGATCGGCCCTTTGAACGAACCACTGGCGGTCCAGAAGTGGGCACGCGGTCCCAACCTCACCGCCACTATCGTATGGATCGACCCAGCTCTGGTGGTGGCAGCTTCTTACGACATTACCGTGGATGTGGATGCGGAGTACACCCAGTACAAGCCTGCGCTGCAGCGCCCCCTGCGACCCGGCACCTGGACGGTACGGGTGTTGAAACAGTGGGAGCGCGTGGCAGAAGTTCGCTTCCTGGTCATGCCCCTAACCTTTAAAGATAAGGAGCCGCTACGCAAAGGTGAGGCGTGGATTCAGAGCGTTTGATTGTCATTATGTGAGTCTAAAGGACAAAAGCTGGCAATATTCTGTATTCTTATTGTATATTGAAGGTTTAAAGTTTCTTTGTATCTTTTAAAAACTCCTTTCCCTCTTTAATTTCTCTTTGTCTGCTCCAGAAGAGGACAGCTGGCTCCATGCAGGGCCTCCGGGTAACCTGTACCTGGAGCAGAGCTTCCAGCAGCTGAGCTCCGTTCTCAAGCTGCCCCCCCAGGAGTCGGCCATGAAGGAGGCCCAGCGCAGAGCCCAGCTGGTGGGTCTGCCCCTCGAAGCGTGGGTGGACAGCAGCATCGGGACCTTCTGGGTTACAGGCGGTCTGTGCGCCACACAGTCCTCCTCCTGCACAGCCGTGGGACCGTGCTCCAAGACCTCCTGGAGCTCTCTGTCCCCGGACCCCAAGTCTGAACTGGGCCCGGTCAAAAGTGACGGGCGGATCAGGTAGCCCCCCGAGAGAGGAGAGACTGTAGACTTCAACACATACACAGGAAGACCGAGGGAGAGCCGGACCTGCACCGGAGAGCTCCGAGAGGACCTGTGTGAACCGGATCTCCCCTCCGAGCTCAGAGGGCACATAAACAAACGGGTCTTCCTGCACTGAGGAGTCGAGGTGTTCTCAGTGAAGAGCTAATACAGACTTAAAAGAGGAGGATGCGACTGCTGGAAATTTGCACATAGACGGTTTGCCAGCGCAAAGACTGGTGACATTGTTTGCTCAACGGTTACACGGACGTATAGTTTTTATTTTCCTGGCACACCGTCTGCCAGTCAGGGTCGGAGTTTGGGGGGAAAAAAGAACCTCTGTGAATGTTTGAGCTCCGTTTGAACGCACAGTTTTCCATTTTTCCTCCGCTTTGAAAGAATCGGGAAGCAGTTGTCAAAACTCAACTACAGACTCTTCTTCATTTCAAGGGAGAGCGGAGCCTCTGAATGACGTTGTTGTGCTTATTTTTGAAGCATTGTTGTTGTTCTGTAAGCACGAGGAGCAGACGGATGAAGTGCACTTTACTGTAAGACGGTGACCTTGAACAGAGGTCACTCGGTTACAGTCTTATGGAGTCATCGCTTTCATTTCACAGCACAGATGCATCACTAAATACTTGGTACCTGTATTAGGAAGATATAAGAGAGTATAGAGAGAGAGAGAGTTTAGTTCTGTTAACTGTGACATATCTTTGTTTTTGAATGTATTTGTTTTGTCTGTTAGTTCTCTGAACTGGTGGTAAAGTGTTAAGTCTTTGATGTCCGTCGACAGTCGAAACCTTCAGTGAGTGAGGAGACCTTAAGTTGAGATTGTTTTGTCAGCTGTTGTTTTCAAGTTCGAGAACGAACTGTCCAGCTGAAATCCTCTGAAATGAATTAGTCTACTTTATTGCTTCTTTGATTTAAAGCCAACTTCACAAGATAACACTTTAAAGGAATAGTTTCTCAACACGTTCTACTTCCTGCGTTGTTGTTGTGCTGTTGTTTACCTCACGGGTCGGTTATTGTTGTCATTTAATTTCCTCCGGTGCATTTCAATTCAACTCACGTCCACCAACCGCAATGTTAAGCAGTCCGCTGTTTGTTTGTGTTTCTATTTTAAGCGTGATCAAGAGAATCTAAGCTGCCTTCACTTAGTGAGAAGATGAAATTGTTTACTACGAGATATCAGCTTCCAGAGATGTGCAATGGATGCCTTTTCAGAGGATAGTGAGCCGCCCCCCCCGCCTGTGTCTTAGTTAGCTTTTTTTTATACCTAATTTTAAATGTTCTTAAATAATAGTCCACACCATATGTTTTCAAGTGACCTTGTTCACCTTGCACAGTACAGTTGCTTCAGTGAAGCCCCAGTTTTATGGATATAAGCGAGAGTAAGCGCCGGATCAGATGTTATTTTTCTACGCTGTTTGAGAGGAAGTGTGTGTGTGTGTGTGTGTGTGTGTGTGTGTGTGTGTGTGTGTGTG